GTGCCTGTTCTCTGGCATCCCATTTTTTTTTTCATTACTTCATGGATCATAGTGCATTTAAACTGGATGTAAATTAGATGAAGGAACTTAGTTGACATTATTGAAAGGGGACATCTTACACTGTTGCCAAGGTTTGATAGAGTGACTTTAAGAAAATGCCAAGTTGGTAACTGCTTCCTTTCATAGCAACTCCCAGGAGACAAAGATTTTAAAGATAATTGACTGCCACTTGGTCAGATTTTGTTTACTGGAAAGAATATCAAATAAAAGACATTTTCCAACTTCACTAGAAAGGATTTATCAGGTACTTACCCCTGAATGCACATCTACCCCTGTCTATGGACATCAAAGACTCCTTGAGGATAAGAAGCCACTGAAACTGGAGGTAGACAGCTACCCCAACAGATTGACAAGGCCTGAATACCTATAGATTGATACTGAACTTAGAATCCATTTTTAAAAAATATTTTTATTGATTTCAGAGAGGAAGGGAGAGGGAGAGAGAGATAGAAACATCAATGATGAGAGAGAATCATTGATTAGCTGCCTCCTGCACGCCCCCTACTGGGGATCGAGCCTGCAATCCAGGCATATGCCCTTGACCAATTCAAACCCGAGACCCTTCAGTCCACAGGCTGACGCTCTATCCACTGAGCCAAGATAGCTAGGGCTAGGATCCACTTTATTTGATTGTTTTAACCTATTTGCTAATGATATTAGCCATAATAGTTATACCTGTTCTTTGGAGTTTTTATATAGTCCAACTGCTTATGCTTACTAAACATGTATAAGACAACTATTAATATTCTTTTCATGGTTTATGTAAATATACTAGATGCCAAATACAGAAAAATGAAACAGAAGGCAAAGCTCGAATCATGATAGTTCATAGGATAGAAATGATCCAAAGCATTTTTTTTTTTTTTTGCAATGACATCCATAAGGCCTGACTGCCTTCCATTTACCTGCTCTTCCCTTGGTACAAGGTTGGTGGCTTGGAGGTCAAGGTACTGTTTGCCATTAACAGAGATAAGAAAAATGAGTTTTGGATGCAAGATTAGTTTGGAGCCAAATATGTCTCTGAACTTGTGTCCATAGTTATTAAGTAAAGTTGTACTACCTCTTTCTGAGGAAATGAGATAATAGACAGAAAGCACTTTGAAATTTGAAAAGTGGGAAGGACTAGACAATTATGATAATAATAACCTTTATTATTATTTTAACTATGTTTAGATACATTCTGCCAGCAGTAAGAATAAACACTTGAGTGACATTTGGGATTCAAAGGAAGGGATGAGACAACTGAGGGAAGGGAGCAGGCATGGATGGAGAAATAGAGGGGCGAGCAAGTCTTTAGAGATGGGGAGAAAATAGGGTTTTTCAAGGGAGCAGTGAGAGCTGCAAGAGAAGGTTAGATAGTATGGAGTGGTGGAGACCAAGACTATGCAGAATTTTTAGAAGCTGGAAATGTTCAGCAGTGTCAAATGCTGCAGAGAGGCTAAGGAGAGGAGTGATTAAGCTCTGTGGAAGCTGGAAAATCTTAGTAAATGGTTTCAATAGGGAGTAGAGGTAGAATTCAGACTTTGCATATCTTGGTGGGGTGTTAGATTAAGGCCTTAGATCTGCTTCCCCATCCTACCATCTTCACCCATATATCTTTACCCTAAGCCCATAAAGTTGCTCAAATCTTTCTCATCTGGAAACCAAACAAAAACCCTTGCTATCATCCTATCTCTCTCTTTTCCTTCAAAGGCAAGCTTCCTGCATAAGTAAGTCTGATTAGCTCTCTTCTTCCTTAGTTCCCACTCCCTCTCAAATCAGGTTTCTTCTCACTCCCCAGTGGATGAGTCATCACTTGAGCCCCACGTGGATCAGACAAACTGGCACTTCCTTTCCTCTTGCTTGTCTTCCCTGAGCCATCTGATCTGCTAGCTGTTTCTTCCTCCCTTGGCTTCTCCCGTACATCCCTCCTCTTTGCTATCAAATCTCAGCTCTTTCTGAGGGCCCTTCAATGGCTCCCTTTAGCCTCTCATTCCCTAAATGTCAGAGTCCTGGGTTTATCTGCACTGTCCTTCTCACGCTGCATGTTTTCCCTGGGTGGCCTCATCAGCAATCAGGACTTCAATTACCAGTGGCTTACTGAAAATTCACATGTCTTTAGCTCCTCTTTATACTTCTCTTCTAAATTCTAGATCCATATTATATGCCCAACTGTCTCCTAGACACCTCCACTTAAATGTCCCTCAGGTACTGTGCTGCATCCAACACGGACAGGTTCGGTGAGCCTGAGAAGGGGCGGTGAAGGATTAAAGAAGACAGACAAGAGAATACAGCTGGGACTTTGTGGGACGCTGCTTCTCTAATAGAGAGACAGCACCACAGTCTGCAAGCTGAGTCTTTATTTTATAGTCAGAGCCCACAAAGCAAAACAAGGTAGTGGTCAACATGTTTACAATGTTCTTGTGAGTTTCACCTTGTTTTGGCAGCACTTGCTGCACCTCCCACAGCCCATTAGCTACCTAGGAAGGAGCAAGGGAGGACTATAAGGTCAAGCTTAATTATACTAGGAGAGCTCTGCCCTCCAAGCTGGGACTTGTTTGTGGCCCTGCCACAGGTCAGTCGGAGGCTTAACCCTATAGCCGCTCCCTACAACGTACCTCAGACTCAGCCTTGTCCTGACAGAATTTGTATCTTTTCAGCCAAACTTCTTCCCCTGGATTCTTTGTGAATAGTTTCACCATTCAAGATCTCAGCCTCTTTGCCCCATTTCTAGTCAGTTGTCAACTCTAGCAAGATGGGTTTTGTTCACTAGAGTCCCAGGGCAGCTGAGGGATGCAGATTGGCTCGGTAGGGCTGCTGTGGACTGGGGGGCTTTGTACAGTAGGGAGGACTGTGTGCTAGGAATGGGCCACACAGTGAGGGCAGGGTAGTTATGGGTGATGCTTCCAGTCTTGGGTAAAGTTGACTGAGTAACACCAAGTGCTGAGGTACTTGGAGTTCTTGAATCTAAAGGAACAGAGCTTGTGCTCGCTTTGGCAGCACATATATTAAAGTTGGAACGATACAGAGAATATTAGCATGGCCCCTGTGCAAGGATGACACATAAATTCGTGAAGCGTTCCATATTAAAAAAAAAAAAAAAATAAAGGAACAGAGCTTGCCTGTGTCTGAATAGATCTGAACAGAGATAGCTCAATGAGGAACAGGGGTAGAGAGAAGCCCAACACAGTAAGATTCAGGTGTGGGAGGGCCAAGTGTAGCTGGATCTCTTAAAGGTAAGAAGGACCTAGTGAGTGTGGATTATACATGTCCCATTTACAGGTTCTACCTCTGCAATGTCTCCTATGGGACCCTCTTTTCCTCAAAGCCTCCAGGCTACTGCCTAACCTCAAGTCTTGTCCAAAAAGCAAATCTTATTAAGCCGTTGGCTCTTTTAACTATTGGACATCAAGTTAAAAATTCTTTAGCTCCTCACACTAGGTCCTTCAGGATATGGTCCCTGTTTACTATCCAGCCCCATTTCTTGCTACTGCTGCACATTCTTTTTGCTTCAGCCATAAATGAGGAAGTTCTTCCAGTCCTTTAAATACATCAGGACTTCATGCGCAGGACTTGAAATATGTCTCCCCCTCTCCTCCCCAATCCCATTCATTCTGTCATTCCTATTTTTCCTTCAATATTCAGTTTAAGCACCATTTCCCAGAAACCTTTTGCAATCCCAATCTGATTTTCTCTGGACTATTGTGGCATTCTGCATATAACATAAAAACACCCTTTACCACACACATCTCACTGTAATTAGATAACTTGCCTCTCTTTCCTAGTAGACTGAGTACTTTATGAAGGCAGATCTTAGTCTATCTGGCTTTCCAACCAGTTTTGTGTTTTTTTTTAATCCTCATCCAAGGATATTTTTCCATTGATCTTTTAGAAAGAGTGGAAGAGAGAGGGAAAGAGAGAGAAATATCGATGTGAGAGAAACACATCGATTGGTTGCCTCCTGCACAGGCCCTAACCAGGGCCCGGACCAGGGAGGAGCCTGCAACTGAGGTACATGCCCTTGACCAGAATCAAACTCAGGACCTTTAGATCCGCAGGCCAAGGCTCTATACACTGAGCCAGACTGGCTAGGGCTCAACCCATTATTTAGCAATGTACAGTGCTTGATATTTTTAAATGAATAAATAAAACATTATCAACCATGATAGATTTAAAGTTTAGGCTATCTAACCTAGAACCTTTTAACATTTAAACAGCAGGCCATTTAGTCATGTCATTTCACATGCTAACCATGCATCTCATTCCTGAAGTTGAGTGCAATGTTGCTGGCCTATTTGCCAGTGGGAAAATCTGAACACTCGAAAATGCATCTCCAGGCATGATCAGCCCACAGACAGATAGGCAGCCTGTCATCTGCGGAACCCGCCAGACCAGCATTCTTCTCCAGACCTGACCTACATGATACCTATAGCCACTAGGAGAGGTGGGCACATAGACATATTTATGATAATTTATTTTGTCTTTAGGTTAGGGACTGCATTGATATGTTGGTGTACGTGGGTATGTTTTCATGTATTCGCGCATGAGCGCGCTTGCTGAGGTGGGCGCAGGAGAGGAAGGAGGCAAAGTGTGCATCACTTCAGAGATGCCTTTCCTGACCTTCTTGACTAGGTGACATTCGCCTCCTCACCCTCAACGAGCACCTATTTCTCTCTCTCTGCAATCCCAGCTTTACTTGCATTTGTGTCATTAGTACCTGCCATAGGAACCTGCCTAATGCATTCCAGGTCACCCTGTAATTCCCCTCCCCGTAGGATGCCTGAGGCATCGCAGATATTCCACAAATACTTTCTAGGTCTAGAGAGCGTTTTTTTTGGGCAGGACTGGGTGGACCCCAACCTGCACTCACACTCACGCCCCGTCTACCAACTGCTCGCCGATTGCGGGGCGGGGCAGGGTGCAAGTGCGCTCTCGCGGGGACAGTCCTCCGGCTAGCGAGGGCGCGGCCCGGGAAGGGGAAGTGGCGAGGGGCGGCACGACGCAGGGCTGCCCCTGGCCGCCTGGCCAATGATCGCTGGCCAGGCGGGGCTCGCGGTCGGCTCCCCGGGAGCGAGCGGGGCTGGGCGTGCCCACGGGTGACGCGCGGGCGGCGCAGGCCAATGGGCGCGGGATGGTGAGCGGGCGGGCCTCCAGGCCCGGGCTTTAGGACACGAACCCGAGGCCTGCGGGACAGACTGACGTGGGATTGCAACGCAGAAGTCACAGCGCGGGGATGGCGTTGGCGCGGGCCTGGAAGCAGATGTCCTGGTTCTACTACCAATACCTGCTGGTGACGGCGCTCTACATGCTGGAGCCCTGGGAGCGGACTGTGTTCAGTATCCTGCCCGGGTCGCGGGTGCGGGGGCCGGGGCGGGAGCGCGGGGGCCCGGGCGGTATCCTCCCAGGCCCAGGGCCTGGAGGTGGGGGGAGCGGAGCGCGCAGAGGTGGTCCGGAGCGCGCAGAGGTGGTCCGGAGCGCGCGAAGCGCGCGCAAGGACTGGTCTCTTCACTGCGGGCGCGCGGGGCGGAGGTCCGGGGCCGAGGGCGGCACTCCCGGTTGCGGCGTGGTTGGGAGAGCGAGAACTCTTGAGATCCGAGGTAGAAGCGTCTGGAAGAAATCCCCTAGGGCGATGGCTAACCTGGCCTGTCCTCGCCTGCACTAAGGCCGCGCCTGCCTTTGGGTCAGTCCCCTGTTCCTGTGGGAGGCAGGGACCGTGTAAGTGGAGAAAATCGCTCCGGGCTTGGACGCCTTTGACCTTTAACTGTCCCTGATTTAACTGGCACTGATCCTAATTAGAACGCTAACTAGTGTTCCAGCCTTTTAGTCAGGTTGTGAATTTGTGCTCATGGCAGCCCAATACAGATTTTTGAAAGCAGTTCGTTATTGTGCCTTTTTGGTCTTCAAGATGGGTAGTTTAAAAAGTGTGTTTTATGCTTTAATTTGCTATTTGCACAGTCCGTAGAAGTAGGGCCTGAAAAGGAATTTGCGGTTAGTTGTAGACTGCTTTAGTAGAATGCTAATACATATTTGTTAATAATTATTGAATGTTTACTATGAGCCAAGCAATTGTGCTAAGCACTTTGCCTGAATCTTAACTCATCTTACTTTCCTAACAACCTCAATTAGTAATTTAAGCTTCTGAAGATAGGCTCCCTAAAGTCCATGACATTTGTCTATGTTCATATCCCTTGATACTATTCTTGCAGAAGAAATAACCATGAGATGTAACATTTTAAAACTTGGGTGCCAATATGAAACAAGGATTTTACACAATATGCTTACTTGGTACAGGGTCTTTCCTTCTCCATGTGCTTTAGTTGGAGCAGCTTCAGAACAACTTTGCAAATGCATGGTTGCATTCCAGTGAAGTGACTGAGGTAATTTCATTCCAAGCCTTAATAAGTGTGTTTATTTGTATGAACTAACATAAGATTGTACTGAAAGCTGAGTCTTTGTTTCAACACTTTTGAGGAAACTTAGCTACTTACAAGGAAATTTATTTTTTACTAGAGGCCCGGTGCATGAATTCGTGCGTGGCTGGGATCCCTCAGCCTGGCCGAGGATCAAGGCCTATTGGGGGGGCTGGCCGGAGAGCAGGAGGGGTGGTAGTAGGTTGGCCAGCGGGGGGGGGGGGGGGGGGGGAGGTGCCGCGGGCAGTTGGGGGGCCAGTCTGGGCCCGGATTGGGCTGGTTGGCTGCTGCACTGCGCGTCATAGCGACCAGTTGTTCTGGTCATTCTGCCACTCTGGTCACTGGGCTTTTATATATGTAGATTGCTGTTGGCATTTCCAAACCTGGAATTTCAGAACCAGAATGCATATTTTGGATCTAATGTCTGAAAGTAAAGTATTCTCTGACTTACTGAATCATTTATTTGTAGCTGCAGTTTAGTCTCACTCTGAATCTATAGGTTAGAGCTCATGAGGTGTTTCTAAAATATAGAAACACATACTTCTGAACACAAACTCATTTAAAAGTGAATTTAAACAATGTTGTACTAAACTGAAACTCTTTAACTCAGAAGCTGAATGCAGAACCCACTACAGAGTCTACTGGACCATGGCTTAAAAATGCTAAGCTGAAAATTTCAGAAGTAAAGAATTCATAAATTTTAAATTGCATGCTGTGATGAAATCTTGCTTTGCCTAGCCTGAGATGTGAATTCATCCCTTTGTCTAGCGTATGTGTAGTGTGTATACTACCTGCGACTTAGTAGCCATGTAGCCATTTTGGTTATGAGAGAGAGAGAGAGAGAGAGAGAGAGAGAGAGAGAGAGAGACTATGACTTATATAACTCATTACAAGACATTGTTATAATTCTGTATTATATTAATTGTCATTTATCTCTCACTGTGTCTAACTTATAAATTAAACTTTATCATAGTTATGTATGTACAGGAAAAAACAATATATGTAGGGTTTGGTACTATCTGCGGATTCAGGGATCCACTGGGGGTCTTGGAATGTATCCCCTGGATATTGGGGGACTTCTGTATAGATTTTACACTTAAGAGCTTGTGTTGGCATGTGGATAAATGCTACAGCATCAATGGTGTTATGGTTTTTCTGTATCATGTTGCAGTAGTAATAGTGTCCCATAAACACCTAGGTGACGGCTTTCTTTAGGATGGAGAAATAAATCATGAAATGAAGTGTAGTGCCTCTTTAGATTTTTGCCTTTGAAGCTTTTGACTTTTCATTGGATTAAGTGACCAAGAGATTTCAATTTTTAAAGTACTGCTAAGAAATACAACCAACTAGCAACTGTGAAGTAGTTGGAATTTCATAAATTTATTAATAATTAGTAAGCCTCACCCAGAACTATTTTGTGGCTTTGGGAAAGAGACATTCTATTTTGTTACATGGTTTGGGAAAGAGACATTCTTCAAAAGTACACCGAACACAATTATCACTACTAGAAACCTAAATCTTTTTTTTTTTTTAAATAGATTTTATTGATTTTTTACAGAGAGGAAGGGAGAGGGATAGAGAGTTAGAAACATCGATGAGAGAGAAACATCGATCAGCTGCCTCCTGGGGATCCTGCCTACTGGGGATGTGCTCGCAACCAAGGTACATGCCCTTGACTGGAATCAAATATGGGACCCTTGAGTCTGCAGGGTGATGCTATCCGCTGAGCCAAACCAGTCAGGGCGAAACCTAAATCTTACCCAATATTTAGTGCAGTGTTTCTCCACCTTTTGGCCCTTTAAATACAGTTCCTCATGTTGTGACCCAACCATAAAATTATTTTCGTTGCTTCTTCATAACTGTAATGTTGCTACTGTTATGAATTGTAATGTAAATATCTGATGTTCAGGATGGTCTTAGGCAACCCCTGTGAAAGCGTCGTTCGACCGCCAAAGGGATCGCGACCCACAGGTTGAGAACCGCTGATTTAGTGTAAGAGAAATTTGTCTGGCTGTCTGAAAAATGGCCTCTGTCTGAGTCTTGGACAGAGGAAGACTCTAGACCAGTGGTTCTCAACCTTGGCTGCACATTAGAATCACCTGGAAATCTTTTTAAAATCCTGATTTCTGGGCCTCATCCTCCGGAAATTCTGTTTCTTTGTTATGGGGTGAGGCCACAACATTAGTAACAAAGAAACAGAATTTCCGGAGGATGAGGCCCAGAAATCAGGATTTTAAAAAGATTCCCAGGTGATTCTAATGTGCAGCCAAGGTTGAGAACCACTGCTCTAGAACCGTAGTCGGCAAACTGCTGCTTGCGAGCCACATGCGGCTCTTTAGCCCCTTGAGTGTGGCTCTTCCAAAGCCTTAGGAGTACCCTAATTAAGTTAATAACAATGTACCTACCTATATAGTTTAAGTTTAAAAAATTTGACTCTCAAAAGAAATTTCAATCATTGTACTGTTGATATTTGGCTCTGTTGACTAATGAGTTTGCCGACCACTGCTCTAGAAGAAGGTAAATGCATTAGCTTACATTACTCTGCTCTAACTCATTTAATAATTTGAAGTTGCCCTTATTTTAGGGAAAACATAGCTATAACTATTTCTGCATACTTTTTAGGGGCATCCTTGAACATGTGAATTTGCTTTTCTCTATTTCTTCCCAAATCAAATAGCTAGACGCGAATTAATACCTGTTGTAAATTGAAAGGTCAATCTCAGTTGACTATGAGGGTTTTTGAAGTTTTCTAAGTAAGAAAATTGTAATTAAAAAATAAAATATATGTATTTTTAAAACTAATCTATTTTTATTTTTTTATTTTTTAAATATATTTTATTGATTTTTTACAGAGAGGAAGGGAGAGAGATAGAGAGTCAGAAACATTGACGAGAGAGAAACATCAATCAGCTGCCTCCTGCATACCCCCCACTGGGGATATGCCCGAAACCAAGGTACATGCCCTTGACCGGAATCGAACCTGGGACCTTTCAGTCCGCAGGCCGACGCTCTATCCACTGAGCCAAACCGGTTTTGGCTTATTTTTATTTTTTAAATATATTTTATTGATTTTTTACAGAGAGGAAGGGAGAGAGATAGAGAGTTAGAAACATTGATGAGAGAGAAACCTTGATCAGCTGCCTCCTGCACACCTGCTACTGGGGATGTGCCCGCAACCCAGGTACATGCCCTTGACCGGAATCGAACCTGGGACCTTTCAGTCCGCAGGCCGATGCTCTATCCACTGAGCCAAACGGGTTTTGGCTAAAAAATAAAATATTTTAAGGAAATGTATCTGTCAAGTCAGACACATTGTAAATAGTTCTTGAAACAATAATATTTATAAATTTGTTTTGTAAATCCTTCTGTGCCAGGACCTGTATCCTACATTTTACCTTGTCTTCTGATACCACATTTGAAGTGATAATTAGCTTTTGTTTTGTCAACCAATATTTACTTTATGTGCAGACTTGGTTTCTATCTTACAAAAAATGCAACCTGACACTTGCATAAAGCAAGGTAACTATAAAATGAATCATGTAAGTGCTAAGTGGTATTGCAATGAATCTATCTCAGAGGGGAAGTTTTTGCCCTGTTTCAAAAGCTTTCCCTACTGGCAGCCATTAGTGCAAAGGAAAAGACCAGGTTTTGTAACCAGGACAGGTTTTGTAACCAGTGAGACACTCCCTGTAGTGCCTCATTGAATAATATTGTAACCATGCTGTTGAGGGCAGGTGGAAAAAATACAAATACCTTGTTAAAAAATTTGAAGCACAAGTAAAAGTCATTTTAGCGTTGTTTTTTTAATAAAAAAATGAGGTTTTAGTCTGTAATCACTGGGTTATATTTGTTATCTCTCTACAGCTTCATATATATATATATATATATATTTTTTTAAATGTATTTTTTTGATTTTTTTACAGAGTGGAAGGGAGAGGGATAGAGAGTTAGAAACATCTATGAGAGAGAAACATCGATCAGCCGCCTCCTGCACACTCCCTACTGGGGATGTGCCCGCAACCAAGGCACATGCCCTTAACTGGAATTGAACCCGGCACCCCTCAGTCCGCAGGCTGATGCTCTATCCACTGAGCCAAACTGGTCAGGGCAGCTTTTTATGTTTTCATTAGAGGCCTGGTGAATGAAATTTGTGCATGGGACGCGAGGAGGTGTCCCTCAGCCTGGCCTGCCCCTCTTGCAATCCGGGACCCCTCGGGGGATGTCCTACTGCCAGTTTAGGCCCGATCCCGGCAGTCGGATATCCCTTTCGCAGTCCAGGACTGCTGGCTCCTAACCACTCGCCTGTTTGCCTAATGCCCCTACTGCTCGCCTGCCTGGCTGATCGCCCCAATTGCTCACCTGCCTGCGTGATCATCCCTAACCACTCTGCCTGCCTGATCACCCCTAACTGCTCGCCTGTCTGCCTGATCGCCCCTAACCGTCTCTGCCTTGTCCCCCGCCACCGCGGCTTTGTCCGGAAGGATGTCCAGAATGATGTCCGGAAGGTCATTCGGCTGTCTGGTCTAATTAGCATATTATGCTTTTATTATTATAGATGGCATTTAACACTTCCATTTATTTTAATCAAAACATGGGCAGTTTTGGGGTTATGCTAGGAATTAGATCCTCCCTGAAAAACAGGCCTTGTTTCTTTAAGGACAGAATTTTTTTTTTTTAAATATATTTTATTGATTTTTTACAGAGAGGAAGGGAGAGGGATAGAGAGTTAGAAAGAAACATCGATGAGAGAGAAACACCGATCAGCTGCCTCCCGCACACTCCCCACTGGGGATGTGCCCGCAACCCAGGCACACGCCCCCGACCGGAATCGAACCTGGGACCCTTCAGTCCGCAGGCTGACACTCTATCCACTGAGCCAAACCGGTCAGGCAAGGACAGAATTTTTAAACCACAGTGCTGGGCACACAAATAATGCTTGAGAAACGTTTGTTTATATATTGATGTGTCATTTCAAAGCAATTGCATAAGTTTTTGGGAATGATAAAAGAGACCTGATTTTAAACCACTTTTAGAGTAGCTTTGAAGCTTGGCTATTTCTAATGAACAGAATTCAGTTCTTGGGGAGAATTCAAGTTTAAAGAAGTAGAAAATGCTATGATTGGGAGAACTTCCTTGATTTTTTTTGGAGATGTTAAAAGAAAATTTGCATTGCTCTGTCTATTCACTTGTGAAAGGTATACGTTTGCTGAATTCTGTGTTCCAAACGTATTATGCACCTTCTAATTGCAAGATACTATTCTAGATAGTGGGACTATTACTGTGAGTAAAATAGGTAAAAATATTTATTCTAATGCCACTAGATAAATAAGTAAAAATACCGATGATTAGATTGTTAAAGCTGTTATGGAGAAAAAGAAAGCAGAGAAGAGGCTGGGAAGCAAGGAAGAGGGAGTGTTCTTCTGTTTTGGCTACAGTGGTCAGGAAGGGGTTATTTAGAAAGACTTAAGCAGAGCACGAATTCCGGGCAATGAGTATTGCAGGCAGAAGGAACGGAAGTACGAACTCAAGGCACCAGCATGTCTGGCATGTTTCAGGGATGCTGAGGGGCCACTGTGGCTGGCAGAGTGAAGGGCGTGTGAGTAGCAGGAGGTGAGGTCAGGTCCTGCAGGGCCTCCTGGGTGCTGGGGTGAGAGTTCGGGCGATAAAGTGCCTCAGGTTTTGAGTAGAGTCACTCAAATCCAGTAACAATTGCTTCACAGACGTTTTATTTTATTTTATTATTATTTTTTTTTAAAAAAATATTTTATTGCCGAAACCGGTTTGGCTCAGTGGATAGAGCGTCAGCCTGCGGACTGAGGGGTCCCAGGTTCGATTCCGGTCGGGGGCATGTACCTGGGCTGCGGGCACATCCCCAGTGGGAGATGTGCAGGAGGCGGCTGGTCGATGTTTCTCTCCCATCGATGTTTCTAACTCTCTGTAGATGTTTCTAACTCTCTGTCTCTCTCCCTTCCTCTCCGTAAAAAAATCAATAGAATATATTTAAAAAAAAAATAAAATATTTTATTGGCTTTTTACAGAGAGGAAGAGAGAGGGATAGAGAGTTAGAAACATCGATGAGAGAGAAACATTGGTCAGCTGCCTCCTGCACACCCCCCACTGGGGATGTGCCCGCAGCCAAGGTACATGCCCTTGACCGTTATCGAACCTGGGACCTTTCAGTCTACAGGCCCGTGCTCTATCCACTGAGCCAAACCGATTAGGGCCCTCACAGACATTTTAATGTTTAATAAAACAGGAAAGTAAGATATCAGAATATACATTTATTTTCTCCATGAAACTTAAAGCTCTTTCCACTTTGAATGAAAAAAAACAAAAACCAAAAACACACCAAAACCCAAAACCCTAGGAACTGTTTTTTCTCATTTTTAATGTACTGAGATTTTTAGTAAGTTTCCAAGAAGATGGACTTCATTTCTTCCTTCAAGGGAATTAGAGCCACGTTTCAGGAACAGTTAAAAGTCACACCTGTTCTCAGAATGATGCCCCGTGTGAATTTAGCGCAGGGAGCCGGGCAGTAGGTGTGGTGGGTGCAGGGCAGGAAGGCCTGGTGGACTGGAGCGCGGAGCACTTCCAGGGAGGAGCTGGAGTGTTGAGTTCCGCAGCTTGGAAGAGGTGTGGACTGGGATACAGAGATGGGCTGGATGGGGAGTACATCAGGCTGACATGCTGGGGCAGGATTCCTTAAGGCAGGATAGGTCGGAAGTAAAATGGAAAAAGCAGGTTGGGGCCATTTATTAATTCAGCACACTTCTTCTCTGAACGCCTTGTGCCCGATGTTGTGATACATCAGTAAGAAAACGAGACAAAGACCTCTGTCCTTGTGGGACTTTTATAGTGAGTGAGTGATGTAGTATGTTAGGTGGTGAGCATTACAGAAAAAAGAAAAGTAGGTCATGGGGGTAAGAAATACTTGGATGGGATGGAGTTGCTGTTTTTAAAATATATTTTATTGATTTTTTACAGAGAGGAAGGGAGAGAGAGAGAGAGAGAGAGAGAGAGAGAGAGAGAGAGAAAGAGAAACATCAATCAGCTGCCTCCTGCCCTGGGGATTGAACCCACAATCCGGGATTGCCCTGACCGGAATAGAATCAACGACCTCTCGGTGTATGGGAGGATGCTCAACCGAGCCACACCGGCCAGGGCTAGCTATGCTTT